ATTTGGCTGGGCAAGTGAGAACACGGCAGACAACATGTGGGGAAACAAAACATCTGTTTAAATCAAGGAAGAGCTTGCCAGCTGACTGCTGCAGTAAAATCAAATAATCTACATTTCTTATAGCTCCCAGAACCCTTCTCCTCTTTCGGTGGGTTGTATTTACTGGCTTCTGTTATGTAGTTCAGGTTGGAAAACATTCCAGAAAGACTTATTTTACCTGATAAAATTCTTTAAAGACAAGCCAAATCTCTTTCACCAAGTAATTCAGAATACATTATGTGGGTTATCCACTGCTAACACAGGAATGTAAACTCAGTTTAGGTTTATTTTCCTGTATTCTCTGCAGTAATCAGCTTTTAATTGCACCTTGGACACAGGTTATCCTCCATGGTTTTCTTTAGGGTAAATCAAGCATCTACTGCATACCATCTCACTTTAAGAGAAACTCATCACATTGCAAATGCAAACCACCTTAATAAAAAAAATACTTGAGTCCTGTAGTCAAAAACAGTACCTTTTCAGTCTGGTTATCACACCACAGAAGTGCAAATCTTGGACGATGGCAGGAGAAAGTTCTGGATGGATTCATAAAACACATTCCTAAATTTTAAGATTACCAAAAGCCATTTTCTCTCCAAAAGCATTCACTCATTTGTCTACCCATCAAGGAATCTATAATAAATATCATTACCGTTCCTATTTCTAGCACAGTAATCAATGCCTCGCTCCGCTCTACGTTGTGTAAAGGATGACGCTAGCAGTGTCTGTAACATCAAACAAGCACTATTTTATTCAGCTAAATCCACCCAGGAGTGACACTGCTATCTCAGTAGCCTGCTCTAAGTCTGTGCACTAAAGCTTGCTGGAGGCAGAGAGCCTGGAGAAATACAGCATTACGCTTGTGTACTGAGAAAACACAGGCAGGCAGTGTATAAGCTGATCCAAGTCATCTCAAGCCCAATCAGATTTTTTTTAAGAAGGTCTAGGAACAGGATTAATAAGCTGTAATAGGGATAGAAAACCCCAAGGCAGCTGGCCCTCAGTGTATTTAATGCCAGCTCCCACACTCACTCTTCTTTGCGGTGTTGGTGTTTTCAAAGCTCATCACTAGCATCCGAGCAGAAAAGACTAGAAGAGGATTTTGCATACATGTCACACAAGGAAGCACTTGTCAGTACTTATCCCATTGCTGTCAAAGAAATTCTCTGATGATTCAATTTGGACATTTGAAAAAGGTATTTTTTTTCCCTAAGTTAAGTAGTTTCCTCAGTAGCATGAATGCACCTGTAATGAGACAATCCATGTGATAAAAGCTTTAATCACAGAGGCCAGACATCCATAGTCAGATTTCAGTTAAAAGTGTTATTTATATTTTTTAATTTCTTGCCACCCGCCACATGCAGAAAGGACTACTTTATCACTGATGTAATAAAAGAAGGTGCTCAAGAAAAAGGATATGGATGAGAACAAGCTAGTTATTAACTAGCTGATGGGATTATTCATTTCATAACATATTGCAATAGTCTCCATTAAATTAAGGTCTCTCCTCCAACTTTATCCAGTCCATTCCCCTTCGTTTGTTTAAAGACTGACAACTTATTAACACCTCATTTGTAAACACCAACAACCATATGGTGTTAGGACTCCAGGCTGCCCAGGGAACCAGGCATGAACAACCTGGTGGTGGTTGTTGTTTGTGTAAACTTGGCATATGGGTCTCGCAGCAAGAGACAAGGGCTCAGAGATAGTAGGAACCACCTCTGATTCCCTGCTCCAGACAAATTGAGTGGGCCAAAGACTTTGCTCAAAGAGGGGTTAGGCAAGTGATTGCAGTTACATTAATCCTTAGAGTCCAGATTTGGATATACTGTAAATTCATTTTCAGTGCTCCACTAGAGAATTATTAAGAATCAGATTCTAATGTCATCAGACTTCAAAATTCAGTTAATTTCTGCTCAAAGCTGGTAATATAGTGCTAGGATTACAAAAACCTGCACCAATTACTAGGGAATTTTATTTCAGGAAGAGTGAAATTTGAGGGTCTGAATGTCAGCCTAACCATACAAAAAGAAATACTAAGTTGAGCCACATAAAAAGAAGAAATTCAAAATAGCTCTCTGTATTATTTACCTCCCTTTTTTATTTATTTATTTATGGGGGGAGTGGGGACAGAGCAGGGAGAGCAGGGAGTGGGATGGAGAAGGTATCTGAATGAAAGGAGCCAAAATACCACTGTTATGCTAAAAACCATAAAGGTGAGTGTTTTTTGTTTTTTTAAGTGACAATAAGATATTGTCATAATCTACTCTTTGGGGGGCTGGCAGAAGAGTAAATAGCCTAGTGTTTACTCATAACAGTGAAATATAAATAGAATCCAGAAAGAGTTTTGTCTTTGGATGAAAGCATAAAGCAGCACAGAGATCACAGACTGGCAAGATAACATTGATAATGAAAAGAAGCAAGTTATAGTGAGGCAGGAAAACCCTACTTATTTTTAGACCAATCTTTGAGCTGGAATAACTAAACTAAGTACGTCCAAAGTAGCACATTTTAAAAAGAATAAAAACAATAATAATCTGAAAACCATACTTTGGGAAATATCAACTAAGACACTTTTCTCAAGCTCATTCTTTCTTGATATACAATACCATGAGTAGTTATGGGTATGCTTGGGTCAAGAGGATATCAGGAGAAACTCAGCAAGCTGAATAGATTTCCTGGTACATCCATAATTTTTCCAGCTAGACTTACATCTCTGTAGTAGCAAAGATTCCCATGCTTTATAACTCAGAACACCAAGGAAGATTTAGGTTTCAATGCGTAAGAACAATTACAAGTTTTAAGGCTTTCTGCAATGAGTTGTACAAAAGCATGAGTTGTACAAAGCTTCGAAAACTGTGATCAAATTGATTTTGGAAAAAAGTACAAAGCCAACAATTCGTACATACTTTTCCATCCTTGGAAGTGGTTATTCGCCATAACAAAACCCCATCAAATGTACCATGATTTGAAATCCAGAAGGATAGTTAATGTGGAAATACTGTCCCTGTTTCGAATTTTACAAGGAAAAGCTCCAATCTAGTTCCATGTGGTATTTGGCTTTCAAATAAGATCAATGTTTTATTTACACTGAGGCTCCTACTGGAAAGTAATTATTGTGAAGAATCTTTGGGATCAGTCTTGTACTCTCAGTATTTGATATTCTGTTTGAAAGGCCTGTCCCCAGGAGTTACAATATATAGCTTGTTATATACCAAGAAAAGAGCACATTCAGGAATTCTTGAGCAAGGAGACTGCGGAATAACCCCCTAAAGATTTATTATTGCCTTTTGTCTTTCTTGCAAAGCAGGATTCATTATCCTTGAAGAAACATGGTGCTTGAATCCACTTTCTCTACTCTTTTAATATTGTCAAAATTACTTCTTTCACACTTAAGAGTGAAATGATCCTTGACCTGGAACTAGGTTTGTGCATCCCAGGAAGTAGAATTGTGAACCACATTGTAAACATATTATGAAATATGTAATTCAAGCATACTCTCACATCAGAGCAGAAGAACACACTCTCCTGTCCAATAGTTTTCTCAACAAGCACACACTGAAATTTCAAGTTCCAGTTTCTCCCTGCTTAACATCACTAGTGCAAATTACTGCAAAAGGCTTGCTGCTGAATCAACATCAGGTCATCTTAAATTTGGCATTCATTAAATACGATGAAAAAATGTGGAGAATTAAATCCTGATTCTGTCTGTAAAGATATGGATAAGTGATTGACTACTAATCACAGTGTATCCATATTATGCATTTTTTCCATTCATGCAATGACATGTAAAGACATTTAATTGACTATTTAATTGGTATGCTTTCCTTCCATAGCCCACCATACAAATAGTGAAAAATCCCATAACTTTTGGAAACTTCAGAAGTACAACTGAAAGAATTCATGTTCACCTGTATTTTAATAGAAGTAGTGCTACCTCACATTTAGTTGTCTATTTCTTAGCAGATGTAGTGAAAAGTTAATTTTTCATTAAGAAATAATTTAATTTTAGAACATTCATTTTATTTTGGTGTCCAGTAATGAAATGCTCTATTCTCTTTGCCTAGCTGAAACCTCAAGAAATTAGCAATGATAGTGTTCTTTAACATTTAATACGATACACATTTATTTTGGCTTAAAAAGAAATAACACACACCATTCCTTTCATTTCCTTTGCATAATTTTTCCCTGAAGAAGGAAACTAAATCTCTTAGATTCAACATAAAGGATATCTTTTAAGATCAAAGAGCAATATGGGGCAATATCTCTTAGTGGAGAGGATCTGGGGCTTTGAACTACCTTGTGGGAAAAACCATCAGTGGAGAAGTCCCTTGCTAGGAATGTTTAGATGTTGTGCTGAGGGACATGGTTTAGTGAGAACTGTTTGTGATAGGTAGATGGTTGGACTCGATGATCTTGTAGGTCTTTTCCAACCTTGATGATTCTATGATTCAATTCATTTTCTGAGGCATCTCTTCACAACTCTACTCCTAGAAACAATAGGCACCTCTTGGGAAAGCAGCACTGGCATTATTCATGGTGTAACTACAGTGTGACTACAGGCTACTTTAGTGCATGACATGAATACATGAATGCTGCTGTTTCCCCTTACTTTTCATGCAGCTCACCCTATATACAGCTGCAACTTTTGCTCCCAGTATGTCTCTGGTTTTCAGAATTCCACCACTTTCTTCCCAAGTTACTGAAAGGAAATTTCTGCACAGGATTCAGAACACTTAACATCTAGGAAAAGATATCATTTTTATTTCTTGACAAAGAATGCTCCCTTTCCTTAGGATCAACTTATTCCTATAAGTCTCATGATTCATCCTATTTTAGGACATGAAAAAAATACTGTATGATTATATACACTTGAAAATACACACAAAAACTAAAAAAAAAAAAAAAAGTACTCAAAGTTCTAGAATCCTCTTTGAATGTGACATCATACACATTCATTTCAAATATGAGACTGTCCTGCAATAGAGGCTTGCAGGTCATCATAGTTCTTGAAAATTGAAGTCAACAGGTGCTTCTTCAAATTCAATTTCCTAGACATTAGAGATTCTCCAAATGAAATTTCTACCAATAGCATAATTTAGTGAACCAGTTACCAGCAGATAAATACTGTGCATCTTTCCAGAACCAAAGCCAAAACAGATATTTTCAAAGAGCTTTGAGTTTCTTAAATTAACTTTCACGTGGACTTGGCAATCACAAACAAGTGTTATTTTGAGAAGAAGAACAAGTAGCAGAGCAGTATTCTTGGCTGGCATATATCAAAGTATACATACCTGACAACTGCAGTGTTAAATAGAAAAAAGAACAGGATAAACAAACTGTGTTGTTTGTTTTGCTTTTTCTCAAGAATCTGACTACAAAAGGATCAGAATGAACATCTGTCTATTAAGGAAATGGAAAAGATAATACGGCCCAGCCTGACTGACTGTAGAGCTCCTACACTGTTGCAGGCATAGAATTCAGTGTTACTTTTGTTTTGAGAAGAAAATCTAGATCTACACCAATACATTTGCAAAACATTAAGGTTTTTTACTTTTTAGTTTAGATGGATGGCCAGTGCTATTCCTTTACAAGATCGGTGCTGATTTTTCCTCACATTTAAGTGGCAAAACTTTTTATTATTATTATTATTATTTTTTTTTTTTTTTGACTATGTCTTTAATAGATGTAGAATGAAATATCTCAGACATTTGACTGTGGGAAGGAAATCACCTCAAGCTTCCCTCAGCTTAGGTCATCTACTGTTTGTTTCAGAAAGCACATCTTTTATTAGGATACAAAGCATGAGCATTAGACATGACAGTGGAGAGGCTAGAATGGTGGGCTTCTGCTGACTTGTCCATTCAAGACAGCAGTTTCCCTGAACTGGCTTTCTCTGTTTGGGACAGATCAGGCAAGCGTTTGCCTAAGAGCAGCAATGGTCTAAGCAGATGTGTCTCTCTACTTTTGGATTTTGGGAACACGCAGGTTCATGGAAAGTTATTATTGACCTCTTCATTTCAGATACTTCTGTTTTTACTCTCAGATGGCTTCCAAGAGAAAGAAGAATGCAATATACAGAAACATTTCCCACTAGATTTCCTGTTGTCATGATAGTTTCTTTCATATTTACAGACTATACTAGAGGCAAGAAGGGCTAAAAACCATTCTTACATATTTTGATTTTTCTGTCATCGGACCTGTTAAACTCACCCCACTGATTAACTTCTGTTAATGAAGTTTCTGATTTTTCTATATTTAAATCATGTGAGAAGCTGAAGTAGACTAACAACTCTTCTCATTCTTTTTGCGTGTACAGATGCCCTGCTCTCTCACACCTTCCCATCATCACGTTATCACCCGTATTTCTCCTTATTCAGGAATGATCTCATTATCAACTGTGCCAGCCTGATTAAGGGAACACTTGAGGTAAGGGACATTATATACACCATATGGTACTTGTCTCATTGAGGCAATTTTCAAATGTACAGTACAGACTGTACAGTCATCTTTATCGAGTTGAATCAGAAGAACACATTTCTTTTTATTTAAACAGTAAATTCAACTGGTGCCTAGAAGAAACTGCTTCCTTGGCTTCAGAAAATAAAAACATTCCTGAAATTATTATGAGGTGAGATGAAAACAGAATTAAAAGGAAAATAAGTGGAACATATTACCAGGAGCAATTTCCAATAACATTTGTACTGAGCTCCCTAGTGGAGGGTGGTGGGGGAAGGGGGGGGGACACAGAGGAGTGGGAGGAATGTATCATGTTTTCTTTTTTTTTTTTTTCCCCCTTCTTAATTTTGCCATGTTGATTGCTTTAGAGAATTCTTTGAGCAGAAGCTGGGTAGAGCTGTTTGGATCCATAAAGTCAGGACAGTCAGCTAGATCTGAATGTCAGAAGGAAAAGTTTGTGGATGTATGGATCTTTTGAAAACAACTATGAGAGAACAGTTCTGTGCAAACAGACTTTATGGCTGACTTATCTGCATTCAGTGAAAGGGCGAAAAACAATTGTATGTCACTCCTGGGATGCTTATACATCTCCTTAAAAATAAATTTTTAAAAAGTGAATAAAATAAAAATCCAAAGATTATGCTGGGCTTAAATTTGAAAGATTTTCTTCCCAGGTACTGATCTCCCCTGACCACCAGAACTTATCTCCATCAGCAGCAACCCTAATTTCTACAAAACAGGTGAAATTATTCCTTTCTGTAAAATAGAGAAAATTGTGTCTCTCATAGACTGATCAAACCACCAGGCCAGTATCAGGTGCTCCAACATGCAATGCCAGGAGACTTCTGCTAGTAAGATGTAACTACACATCTTCAAGAAATATGCAGCATAGTGGGGCTAAATCTTAGTTCACAGACACAAAAGATGGGGGAGGGGAATCATCTTTCTGACAAGTGAGAATAAATTTTCATAATAAGAGAAGGTGGATATTGTGGAGTGCTTCATACTTAGACTGAGGGGTAGAAGTAAGTTTAACTTTATAATCACATTGAAAAAGGAAGCATGATGAAACAGCTAGAAAAGATGATATAGCAACAAGAATTTGTAGCCTAATAGAGAACACAGTAGCAGCTCCTGCAACAGTTTCTGCAGCGTAAGTAAAACATGCATTGGAAATACTAGGCGAATGGGGTGAAAACAGCAGGTGGGATTGCAGCTTTGGGTTAAGCTATAATAGGCCTATATTTAGGCACAGCTATCACAGAGAAAAACAAGAGGCACAGGGAAGACCACAGTGGAGAGGACAGAAGTTACTGTCAGAGCTCTTTGTAGAACTCTTCCATTCATACTAAGCATCTCTGTGTTTTTTTACCCATCATACATTCATATACTCTGGAGCTTCTCAATGAGAGAAACAAAACTCAAGAAAATCCTACTCAATCTATATATTAGGTCTGCTAACCTTCCCTGCTGACTGGAGAGATAACTCACATGGGGGCCTTCTAAAGCAACCTCTCCCAGTAGGCAGCTATGGAAGGGCTTTTTGAAGCTGATCTGAAAGACTACTTGGAGTTTGGTGAAAGCTGTTTCTCTATTTTTTTCTTATTGTTATGAGTCAAATCCTGTTCCTACCACAGACAAAAGCAAATCAACTGAATTTATTTGAAGATAATTAATTCAAGACTTCCATATACACACTTTAACCCTTTATCCCTTGAAGCCCCCTGGAACCTACACCAATGCATTGGCCACCCCAAGTAAAAATAAACAAACAAACAAATGCTTTCTGGTAGTCAGATAGAAACTCTGATGTTTCAGTTTTGTGACCTGACCCTGGGCATCACTGGAATTGCTTTACAGGAAGCCAGCAGTGAATGCTCTCACTTCACTATACAACTGACAGCATCTTCTCTCTCTGCTCTTCTGTTTTCAAGTTTTCTCAAAGCCATGTGGATTCTAACAGTTTATTTGCAGTACAGTACTTACAAGGATGGTATGCTCATGAGTTGTCATTTTTCATGCAAGGGAACACAGTTATAAATATGTCCTATTTACAATTATAAAAACTACAGCATTGGTTACGGGCAACTGACTTGAACTCAGGAAAGAAATCTGACCTCAAGGTAAACTTATTATAGTCTATTTACAAACCCTCTGAAAAAATAATTCCAGTAGTATTGGTGGTCAGATTAGATCGAGCCTCTATGCATATATACACACAACTGGAAGTGAGGCATGCTATTATGCTCTCAGAACCTGGGTCTCTAATTTACTCTGCTTTTCTTGTAAGCAATGGAAAAAATAAATAATGTTCCACCAACATCAATCATGGAATCTTGCAAAAAAAAAAAAATTAGATGATTACAAAAATAAAAATTAGACACTAGAATTCCTGCTGAAGGAAAACTCTAATGAGGCCCAATTAATGTTGAGCTTGCTTCAGAAAACATCTAAGGAAAGCCATTAGATCTCTGACCCTCATTCTCAGCTGTCTGGAGGAGTGCCAGCCTACCAGGTGTAGTGCACAATATTGACACCTGCTCATTTGGGATTTAATACAGCCCACTCATTTAGCTAATAGAGGCAATCACTCACTGTACAATTCATTTCAGATATGTTTGTAGCATTTGAAAGTGAAAGACAATTTGCACTGAGGCCACATAGGAGGAGGATGTCTTCTGACAGGCACCTTAGAAACAGCAGCAGCAGAGCCACTGGTCAGAAGCACGTCAGGATGCAACATGAACATCCCACAACCCACAGACAAGAAGGAAAACCACCAACTGCTGTGAAAGCCGCACTGGATGGACAGCATTTGTGAAGCATGTGCAAAACCTTTGTCTTCCCCACATAATGCGGAGCTCCTACTATGCTGCCAGAATCTTCTATGAGTGGATGCAGGGAAGCATTTGCTCTATAGCACCCATAACTCCCAGAAACAGCACAGCTATTTAAGTAGGGTAGAGTAGTCTAGATGCAGTGACAGATGAGGCGACCCTCAGGGCTTCTGAGGAATGCAGGGAGAATATCACTTCCTTTGGGAAGGAAAACTTAAGCCTCTAACATGGAAACATAAATCCAGCTACAGAAATAAACAAGAGAAGGGACAGAAATAAAGGAGAGCTCTTGAGGGTCAAAGTATGGTTGCTGTGCATCCACAGCAGCAGCTACTACCTCTTTTCCTGATCACTCAGGTTCAGCTTCCCAGGCTCCTAAATACTAGCAAAATAACATGGAGAACTAAAACCTTCTTTTCTGGTTCCTAGTTAGCTTCCCTGGCAAGTACCTACCTGTGTCTAAAGCCAGCCTCAAGACTTCTGATGGCTAACACAGCAACACACAGCTCAAAGTAAAGCACTAACATGTACAGGTACCATGTTTCTGAGTGAAGAAACTATGTCTAAGGGTTGCTCTCAGTTCTCTACATAAACAAATAAAGCAACAAAAAAACCCAACTATCTCATAGCTGAGGAAGTGGTTGTGACAAACAGGAGGGAGAGGAGGCTGGCATTTTACCATTCTAGGACCTCACACAACCTGGACTCCGGAGGATGCTAGGAGTAAGTCTTGCTGGGATGCTAGCTGCAGAAACTAGTGAGTTCACAGGGAGCAAAAAGCAATGCTGTTTGGTTGAGCCTTTAAAAAAAAAAAAAAAAGACTAGCTCCAGCTGTAATGTTATTGTTTGTAAGCATACTTCTACTGACAGGCAGTCCATATTGAAGCGTGTCAAAATATTCACTAGCATCATACTCAGCCAGAACTGATACAACCCAGATCATCAAGGCAAAACAGGACCATTAAAGAAAAACAACACATTTGTCTGTCAAATAACAGAAGCCCTAGCGATTGGAAGTTTGTGTTTTCATTAACAGCAAATGTTTCCTGAGATCAGAGTAAGAAACATTTTCTTAGTGCTTCCCCCAACCCCCCCCCCCTCTTCCTCCTCAAGAGTCTCTAGATAGACAAAATTACTCCCAGTATGACACCTTCATTCCTGAAAACATTTTCCAGCTATTTAGGGTAAGTTGTATTCACTTAAAAAAAAAAAAAAAAAAAGATTCTAACTCATTCATCTCCCTCTTCTCATAAAGGAAGAGCAATGAGCAAAGATTTCTATGACATCTACTAGTGACTGAGCTAAAGAAACCCAGAAAACCCTGGAAAAGTGTTTTAGGTACTAAAGAAACAAGACACAAGAAGATGTCAAAAATAAATTCTTCAGGTTCATGGTATAAATAACAGTTTATGATATGAAAACTCTTGCCCCTTGCCTCTAATGCATTCCTTGCAAGTTAATACAGTATCTTCTTTCTGACAGTACACAATCTTTCACATACAGTGAAATCACACCACAGAAGTTCATCTAGTAGAAATGCTCTTCTCTCTGGATTCTGATTTGCTTCTGTAATCAAAGTTCACAACCTCAAGGAAACTTGTGTACCAGAAACACCTCAGAAAACACTCATCAGCTCCTTGTCTTCTGAACACAACATGAAGGAACAATATATGCTTTAGCTCAAATTACCTGCTCTACTGAGACTCCGGAATTACTGTCAGCAAGTAGGCTGCCTGCTGGGACTCAGGGAAAGGAAATATTTATCTGACCACTTTCAAGCTGAAATTGAAGGTTTAGGTTCACCTGAATAAGGCTTAAGATAACAGTCAGGGCATTTTATTTGTTCCTCAAGCCTATACTCCTTTTACTGTCCACTTACCAACAAAACCAACCTGCTTCCTTACCAAGTTAAAATAGCGATGTATCACTGCAAAATAAGTGACATTAAGCTACTTTCCTCAAAAACAAAAATAAACTAACAAAACAAACGAACACAAGAACAAAAAACCATCCTGACTGAACTATTTATATTTTAGTTCTCCAGTATTAAATCTCTTACAAGATTACTAGATGCTTATTAAGCAAACACTTGCTATGCTTATGGAAATATTACTAATTCTACTACTAATTCTAATATTACTACTAACAAGAAACAGTGTAACGCATTGAGAAGAACTTTTCCATCCCTGAGAATTTATTATCTTAAGTGATCGTGTCTGCATTATTATTCTCTTCCTAGTAAGCAGCTCAAAATTTTAAATAATTATTAGTGATGAAAGATGGTAGATATGATTCTAACCTGAAGTGCTTCCAGCTGTGCTCTAGGGCACATTTC